GGACTGGCCAGGGCAAAGCCAAGGGGCGAGAATCCTGACAGTGAGGACGGCGGCTGGGAGGAAGGTGAGCGGCAGGAGGGGAAGGTCTGGGTATCGGAGCCATGTTTTCTTTCTTTCTTTCCTTTCTTTTTTCTTTTTATTTTTTTCCATTCAGTTTGCCAGAGCACTTGCTAGGGAGAGATGAGACAGAGAGAGAGGAGAGAGAGAAAGGAAGCACCTTTATGGGAATGGTCACACTACAATCCCTGCTCCATTTCTTCCTTGGGGGTGCGTGCACACCTGCCTGGGGTGTTTTTTAAGCCACCAGGTCTGAGACTTGAACCCACTTGGCTATGTGGGATCCAGCTGCCTTAACCATTATGTCACTGGCTGGCCCCACGTTTGCCTTCCAAAACTTTAAATCTTACAGATGCTGGGAGTGACGGAAAGATCTAGAGGGGAGCTTGATAGTTCCTCTGGCTCAAGACAGAGGAAAGGGTGAGCAGTGTGGCCTGGAAAAAGGGAGGCACGTTGGCTGGTTGTTGTAAATTTATAAACTGTTTAAGAGCTACCGGGCTAGCCTCTGGCTGAGAGGTGGTGGGTGCAGGAGAAACCAAATTCCAGAATGGCCCCTGAAAAAGCAACGAGGTAGAGAGGACAGCTCCCACCTTGCACCAGTGGGCTCTGGGCTGGGGGCACTCAGGGTCACCGCGTGTAGGCAGTGGACAGTCATGAGTGGGGGCGAGGCCGTGGGGCTCTAACACTGGTCGGCAGACAGGGCTGGTCTGAGAAAGTGGGGGAGACTATGAGCATGCAATGAGCGGCTCGCAGATCTGATGTGTGACGGCCTCTTAGACGTGTCTACAGTGATAGCGATAAGTCAGCACGATCACTGAGAGACAGGGAATGAATTCCCAGGAGAAACCCCTCAAAGGTTCAAAAGCGATTTCGTTCTGAGAGAGCAAATGGGCTGGAAGAGACAGGAGACTTTCTAAAACAATTTGTTTTAGAACTACAATATTTAAAACGATGAATGTAAAGCATAGAAAAAAAACCTTAAAAATATAAAAACCCTAGGGGTTTCATTCTGAGTTTTTGTCCATCCTACTTTTCGTTATTAAGTGGCCTTTCATGGGGCTGGCAGGTGGTGTGGTGGTGAAGAGTGCTGGACTCCCACATAGCTGACTGCGGTTCGAATCCTGGACCTGGCGGCTTGCTTTCTCACTTTCCGTTTCTCTCTCTCACTTTGTCCCTCTCTGGTCAAATTAAAATAATTTAATTAATCCTGGACCTGGCGGCTTGCGTTTTCACTTTTTCCTTCTCTCTCTCTCACTTTGTCCCTCTCTGGTCAAATTAAAATAATTTAATTAATTAAATTAAATAATTCTAAAAAAAAAAGTGGCCTTTCGTATATGAAATGATGGTGATAGAGGATAGCTTTTTTTTGGTCTGTGTGTACGTGCGTGAGTTTAATCCCCTTAACGTCTTCATTTGACAAAATAAAACATTAAGCCCGGTGCATTTGGAAATCCGCAGACTGTAAGACGGAACCCAGGTAAGGCTCCGCGCGCCTGCAACCCCGCGAGCGGCCGGCAGGGGTCAGGCGAACTCCACGCAGCGTCCACGCTCGGGCCTTCGTTCCGCAAGCGCGTTGTGCCTCGGGAAGAGGCAGGAGTTACTGAAGCAGCCATCTGGGTTCTGCACCGGTAGACCAGTCAATGGCGCCCTTCCCATTCCCACTGCATTTGCACCAGCTCAGGCCCCACCCGGCTCCTGGGCGTGGCCTGTTCCCCGCAGTTCCTAGTCTTTTCTGGCACAGGTGTGCAACTCACTTCTCTGCGGCCCAGGCGCCCCTGAACGTCCTGCATAACCTGGTGTCTGCACCCGGCTGAGATCAGGGAGCCAATTTGTCAAATGAGACTTGAGAAAGTCACGTAGATAAGGGATTGTTATCACTAGATCATATGGGTCTAGAATTAGAACTCAGGCCTCCGAGGAAGCTCCAGATTGGATGTTGCGAAAGATTTACCCCGGGAGATGTAATTGGTGTGGGGTGGGATCCAGGAGTCATTTTTCACAGGTTGCCAAATTCTGAGAAGGGGTGTGCCCAGACCACACTTAATAACGTTCCGTTAGCTTCTCTTGCCCTCCCACAGGGCAGGCAGTGTCAGCCGGCGCTGGGTGGATAGTGTGCCTCAAACTGGAGGGGATGAGAGGCAGCCAGAGAAAATAGCAGTGGGGCGCTGCAGCTGGCCTGCACAGTTGTGCACTGCGTGCCGACAGGCAAAAACTCCCACCAGAACCAAAGTCCTCCTGCTGTTCCTTTTCCAATCCAGGCTACATAGTGTTTTGTTTTTTCAATTAAAAAAGAAATGTTTATTGATTTCTTCCATGAGAGAGAGAGACAGCAAGTGAGCGAGCCAGCCCCAGCCGGTTTTCTACTCTGCCACCCACTCCCACTTCAGCCAGCCCAGGTCGGGTGCAGGAACCAAACCCAGACCCTTCCCATGTGGCTTCACCATCAGGGACGGCTGCCTGACCACTGCAGCACTGTGGCTGGCCTTCTTTGGTTGCATTTTCAAACATTTCTCTGCTACCACGGGAAGAACAACCATGCTCTCCCCAGGTTGGCAGGGCTCTGACAGTCGACACGGAAACATCCCATTCTGTCACATTCTGAATGTCTGCGGCAAGCTATAACCCAGCGAGGTCACCATTTCAGCAGCATTCACTTCCAACATAGGAGCAGGACAGGGGAGGGAAGAGCCGGCCCGTGAACTCTGGGTCAGCCCCTCAGGATGGGACGAGACGGGACAGGCAGGAACAGGCACCCGAGGCCAGGAGCCAAGAAATCCAGTTCCCTCGTTCAGGAACTTACAGGGTGAATGACCAGGGCTGTTCTGCTCAGACCATGCACCACCCATGCTGCTAAGCGGGGGGCAGGGAGGCTGGAATTCTCAGGACACCCCCATTTTTGTGGCTAGCAGGTCTAGATTCTGTTAGGTCATTGGGAAATTCATTGTGTATTTTTTGTTTTTCTATGCAAAAATGCATCATGACTTTTTAGACAACCCAATAGCTCCCTTTCTAACCTTGGGAAAAATTAAACTGTCTTTTTTTTTTTGGAGAGATTTTCACTGTAGGGCGCGTGCGCTTGCCAGACAGAGAGAGACATAGAGACAGAAAGCGAGAAACCACCCCCCAGGGGGGATGGTCACGCCGCAATCCCTTCTCCTCCATTCTCCTCTCGGGATCTTGGGCACGCACGCACACGCGCCCGGCGTGAGTTTTAAGCCACCGGGTCCGAGACACGAACCGCGGTCGACTACGTGGGAGTCCAGCGACATAGCCATTACGCTAACTGCTGGTTCCCAAATCAAACTGTCTTGATAAAAAAGACCTTAGGGGGAACCAGCAGTTAGCGTAATGGCTATGTCGCTGGACTCCCACGTAGTCGACCGCGGTTCGTGTCTCGGACCCGGTGGCTTAAAACTCACGCCGGGCGCGTGTGCGTGCGTGCCCAAGATCCCGAGAGGAGAATGGAGGAGAAGAGATTGCGGCGTGACCATCCCCCCGGGGGGTGATTTCTCACTTTCTGTCTCTATGTCTCTCTCTGTCTGTCTGGTGAGCGCACATGCCCTATAGCGAAAAAAAACTCTCAAAAAAAAAAGAGAAAAAAAAAAAAAAAAGACCTTAGGGATAGTTTCCAGAAATGTATAAGATTCCCCCTAGCTCTAAGACCCCAACAACCTCTTTTCCTTTAAAAATCACCAAGCGATCTGGGAAAGGGAGGCTGAGGCTGGCTCTCCCAAAGGCTAATTCTACCCTCTCATCCCCCATTACCAAAGGCTGGAGAGTCGGCAGAGGACCTGGACCAGTCACTAAGGACATGGGCTGGATCCAAACGGGAAGTGGAAGCAAGTGGGTTGCATCTCCCCAAAGCACTGGTTTGAAGGCAGATGGGTTTCCTCATATGTTTAATAAAAAATGGCGGCAGCCGCTGTGCAGTTGTAACAGAATCAGCCATGGGGTGTCTAGAGAAAAAGACGCGGGCAGCCTGGACTGGAGTAGAGCCAGCCAAGCCGGCTGCTCAGGCAGGGCCTGCGTCTGCTACCCGCCAGCCGCAGATGGTCACACGGCCAGGACTGGTCGGTGCCCACGGCAGAGCAGCAAGGAGGGTCTTGGAGGTGCTGCCAAGGAGGCCAGCGCTGAGGCGATCCTCCACACGCACGCTGCCCCTTGCCCCAGGCCCCACTGCGGACTGTCAGCAGCACAGGCTGCTGGAGCTGATGCCTCTAGACACTGGCAGAAACAAAGGCTCGGTTTGGGCTCTTCCCCGCAGAAAGACTATGTCCCAGTACGTGGAAGAGCATAATGCTTGCTTCTGCTGGACTTAAGCAGAGAGGGCTCCCTCCCAAGGCTCAACCAAGAGAAGGGTAGGTGCCTGCATGCCCAGTGTCCACTCTGGGAGGTGGGAATAGCCTTAGGAGCCAGAGACCAAGCAACCCCCAGGAAAGCCAACACGCTTCCTGCCCAGTCCACTGTAAGCCACTGAACACTCTTCTGGCTGGCTGGGCCCGCCGTGGGGCCCCC